AACGGCCCGGACTGGGAGTCCAGCAGCGCAACCGAGGTGGGGTCGAGAGCGGCGCGGAGGCGGCCGGCACTGCAGTCGTCAACAGCACGCGAGGCTGGGCGCTGCCAGCCCCGAATACGCAAACCACGGTCTTGTGGGGGAAGTGCGGCGTCACCGACCCAGGTGACGCACCCTTCGGGAGGGGGAGGGAGATTGGGCGGGGGAGCGCCACCGGAATTCCAGACACGGGTTTTACCGGCATGGAGCCGGATCTGCAATGACGTGAACAAATGGTGCTCCAAGCGGGACAACACACATGCCGTGCGGGCAGGGAGGGTGGTGACATAAATGTCGTCTAAAAAAGCCCGCACGCGCTCGCCGGGGAGGAGCTCGGCTTGGAAGGAGCGGAGCGCAGGCGCGAGGCCAAGAGCGAAGAGGGCGGGCATCAGTGGGTCGCCCTGCTCGCCGCCTTCAGCTTGTGACACGAGGTGGGTGGCGCCGTCATCGTCGGACCAGACGAAGGAGGACGGACGTCCATAGAACAGGCGGGCGAAGGAGAGCATAGCGGCGGCGCCAGGTGTGTTTCGGAGCTCTGTCAGCATGGACTGGCGGCTTACAAAGTCGAATGCGCCGATGCCATCGACAGAGAGGACAGTGCAGTGGGGGCCTGAGTCGGTTTCGAGTTGGAGGCAATGGGCGAGAGCCTCAGCACCAGCACGCGTGGACAAGGCAAACTGGTGTGGGCGGGTGGCTTCATCAATGTGCTGGCTAAACTGTTGGGCCAGCGTGCGGGCGACCAGCCGGCGGAGGAAGTCACCGACAACGAGTCCCCGGACGCCGCCGGCCGGCTTGCGCAGTGCAACGAGGCGCCCGAGGCCAAGGGCCGATGCAATGGAGGTGGGGAGGCGGGCGCGTGCGAGTAGCTGTGCGACCTCGCAAAATGCTTCGGAGGAATCGGCATCGTCAAGGAGCAAGCGCGCGATATCGGCCGTGAGGCCCGGGGCCGGGTGCAGCGCCTCGGCGTGAGCGGCGCAAGTTGGTGAGCAAGGCAGATGCTGGCAGTGTGACGGGTGCTTCAGGCGACCAAGACAACAGGTCCGGGTCGAGTGGCGCATATGGCTGATTGGGGCGGCGGGCCGGGTCGCGCAGCTGCGCGAGTGTGTCTTGATTGCCAGGGGCAAGTGGCTCGCTCAGTAGGGCACGGCGAGCGGCTGAGAGCTCGCCAAGGTGGGGAGCGGCACGTGGCGGCCCTCTTCGGAAGAGAGCTGTTGCAGGATATGGAGTGCGTGCACAACGAACGCGGGAGGCACAGAGCCTGCGATCCGAAGGTCGGCGAGAGCACGTGACCAGAGGCTGCCATAACGAGAATCGGATGCCCACGCTTGCAAAGCCCCTGGGCTGAGGCGCCCGACAGCCGCGTGAAGCAATGGCACGAAAAGCCAACTGTGCGTAGGGCCAGGTTGGTATGCGGCTGGGGGGGGGTCCCTGGTGGAACCAAGCCGGTTCAGCTGCGGGCGGGCCAGAGGCAGAAGGGGCAGGCTCAGCTGGCTCGGCGCTCGCGGGTGGCAGAGGAATGCGGACTGCAGGGCAAGTCAAGACCTGAGCGCCGCGGGAGCAAATCCATCCGCGGCTGCCTTCGCGCACGTCCAATGCCAGACACCGGGGGCCGTGTGTAGGGCAGTGGGGACGCTCAGCGTGGGGGGGCAGAGCCTGTAGCAAAGGATGCTCACTGTGCACCGTGGCGTTGCAGCGGAGGCAAACCCACTCGGGGGACCAGTGGTTGGATTGGCGATGGAACACAGGGGCCCAGTGCATGTGGCGGTCCGGCAATTCTGCCCAAGCTTCGTCACGGGAAGGGCTGTGGGGGTTGGCCAGGATAACCCGCGGGCAACAGAAGGCCAGCACGGTTGTGGCGCGGTAGCATCCCGGTGCTGGCGGGAGGTAGTATCGTGGTCGGGCGCGGGGGGAGGCGGGGTGACCTGTTGTGCTTGGCATGCTTGCTGGAATGCCGCCGCCCCCCAAGCGGGCCAGCCTGCGCGGCACGAGGGGCAACGCAGATCACGGACATTGGCGACCAAGTGTGCCACACATCCCAAGTGCATACGGTGCTGGCAGATAGGCCAGGGGAACAGAGCTTCCGAACCGACCGCACCAGGCGTGAGGTAGCAAAGACAGACTGGGCAAGCTTGTGCCGACGGCTGCTCGGGCGGGCATGGGGCATCGGGCCCTAGCAACCAGGGGGGTGCGGAGGGCGCCACATCGGGAGGCGAGGTGCCGGCAGAAGGCGCGACAGGGGTGGCCGTACCAGGTGATGCTCTGTTCTCAGCACTGCCGGTGGGCAACATGGGCCATATGCGGAAAGCGCCGGGGCGAGGAACTAGGGGCAAGGACCTGGGGCAAAACCTTAAGCCGCAGGGTTGCCCGGGCGGCGCCGGGGGGGGCAAGGCGACTCAGTGTCAACACGCACCGGGGCGCGACATCCGAGGGTTTGTTTATCCTGGGTGTCCCTGTGTCCCAGAGCGCCCGCGACGCCCATCTGCCGCTTTCGCGGCGTGACGGCCTACAACGTCGCTTTGTTGAAAGGCTTGGGAGCAGTTACGGTTCAGACAGCAAGCCCCAAGCCCAAAAGAACACAGAAAGGGTGATTGCAGGACCTGTAAGGCTTGAGCCAAAATGGCTTGAGCCAAAATGGCTACCCATCTGATCCGACCGCCTCACGGCCTACGCGCACCCAGGCCCGCTCGACGATCTTCCCTCGGCGAGCCAGTAACCCTGTGCGCGGGCAGGCGAGGGCGCGGTCCCCGTACTGGTCTACCTGCTGCCCGCAGCCGGGGCTTGGGCCGCAACATGTCGGGCTGAGCGGCAGGGGTAGGCGCAAGCGGCGCCGCAATGCAAGCTGCATGGCCTGCGGGGCGAGGGTTAGCGCTGGCTCGCTCGGCACTGCCGCTAGCCATGCACCAGCGTGTGCCCCGCCTTGCGAGCGTAGCAAAGCCCGAGATGCTGGCTGCAGAGCCGGCAGCAGCACACGATCGCGATAGTGAAGGTTTCGAGTCCGCGTCGAGTGAAACTGCCAGCCGTGCGGCCACTCGCCCGGGCCTGCATCGCGGGGTTGTTGCGGCCGGGCGCCTTCGTAGGCAGCGTGCCAGCCGGGGCACGCTTCCCAGCCTTCTGCTTGCAAGAGGCTTCGCGCTGCCGCTGCTTCGCGTAAGCAGGGGATCGTGCCCTCCATGCCGTGCTCGAATGCCTCCAAGCACCGAGCAGCTGCGCCGGGCAGGCGGGACCGAATGACAGGAAGCGCGTCCATCCATGCTGCCCAGTACGCCGCTAGGGCCGTCCGCTCTGCTGACTGCAAGCCGAGCCCGCCGCATCCGCTCTGCTGACTGCAAGCCGAGCCCGCCGCAGACAGCTGGCAGCGATGCGATTGGCCAGGCCTGCTGTGCCTCCGCCAAGGGTACGCCCCCCAGACACGCTTGAAGTGTGTCCCAGACGGTTTGGTCGTGTGCCCGCGCATACGACGCCGATTCGGAAGGCGGGAGTGTTCGCAAGGCGTGGTTGGCGCGGGGCGACGCGCAGAACAGCAGCAGCAGCCAGGCGCATTGGGGGTCTGGGAGGTGAGGTAGCTCGTCAAGCAGACGGCGTTCCTCCTGAAGACGCGCGTCTGCCCAGGCCTGGACGAAGTCGGGGTGCCCCACCGGTGTGCCCAGCACCACGATCCCGCGCTGGGCTGGCGGCTTGTCGCCCCGCCAAACGTCATCGCCCAACTCAGCGATTCCGGGCGGCGGCGGGCCAGCTTTGGCGGCCATCACCCGTGTCTTGCCGAGGTTGGACCCGATACCGCAATGGTCAGCAACGGATTGGGTGGCTGTGTCCAAGGCCGCGCGCGCTCGGCTCGGGGCAGTGACGATGTATAAGTCGTCCAGAAAAGCCATGAAGGTGTCCCCGTCTTGCAGGCCGGAGGCTGCACGCTGCAGGGCGTCGTGCTGCCCGTAACCTCAAACATGGAAAGCTTGCTGGCCCAAAACCCTCTTTGGATCTCTGGTTCGGGGTGGCTGCGGCCCACACATAGCAGTGATGGGTTTAGGCATGCAGGTTCTTGTGTGGCTGGCCCGGGTTGGAAGACGTCGGTTCGATATTTTGCTTTGGAAGATGACTTTTCGGAGCCGGAGTCGGCGAGGCAACGCGATCTGCATCGTCTCCGGGGTGAGCGAGGTGTGGGGGTCGCTGGGGATGGCCTGGAGCCAGGCAGCGGCGTGCGGACCAGCCTGCGAGCGCAAGAGCGCGCGGTGGGGAGGTGGCAGAGAGGGCAGCAGCACCTGGTCGCGGAAGAAAAGGTTCCGTGTACGCGACGCCAAGCATCCTGCGCGCCGCAAAAGCTGTTCGGAGGCATGCTGGTCCATGCACGTCACGTCCACTCCGTAAGGGTCGGGCACCTCTCGCGGAGCACCGCGAGGGCGTCGGCCCAGGCCGCCCTGTACCGTGGTTACGCCGGGCAGACTCGCAATCGCGACAGGGCGAGTCGCTCATGGCCTTTCTCCATGACCTCTATGTCCTGTTGCCCGACCCAACCCGAGCCTGCGCCAACTTAGATGTGGTGACAAGCACGGTCGAGACGCACACGGGCATATCCGCCAACTTGGGAAGGATGCGCGTCTTCAATTATGCAGGTGGCCCGGCGCCGCAAGTTGCCTGACCTGCAGTGCATGCGTGCATCTCCTCCTCGGCTTTTGCGCCGCGCCCCGCGCTAACCACGCTTCGAACCGTCCCTCCCGACCTCATAGCGCCATATGCTGCGGCACATGACGCAGCCATAATAATTATGGGGCAAGCTTGTTTGGGCGCCACCGCAGAGGGGGGACACCAGCGTGGCGTCGCAGCATTGCGCCCCCCCGTGTTGCTCATCGCTCCGTACACAACCAGGTCGAGCCTGCGCCGGTCGTGCGCTCCGACATTCGGGGCGGTCGTGCGGGCCAACCACTGCTGCGGACGATCTGCATGGCGTGCGGTGGGAGTGTAGCCGCCGGCTCCGTCGGGATCGCAGCAAGCCACGCTTTTTTCCGAATTCGAAGGCCGTACCCCGACTGCATTCTGGACTGGGTTCTAGGAGTCCTTACAACATATAAAACACCACCTTCCGAAGCTTCCGAAAATTGTGGTGTTACTGTTGGGTCTGCCCGGTCTCGTTGTAGTCGTTTGTGACACAAAACTTGGCATCCCCGTGTGAATTCAGGCCCTGACCTGGGCCCCCCATTTCAGACGCTATTTTGGGGGACCCAGGTTCAAGCAGGTTCCGTGGCCATCTGAAATGGGGGGCCCCAGGTTCGCCATGGGCTGTCTGAAATGAGGGGGCTCAGGTCAGATCCAGGAAAACTTTACATGTCCGGAATGCATGCTGAATCAACCAAAACCCAGATTTGTCTAAAATGAAGGGTCCCAGGTTCTTGTTCGGGCCCACCGAGCCTGTCTAAAATGAGGGGGCTCGCATTCCAGAAACAATGGTGATGTGACAGTCGGCTGGTGCCACTGCCGCGTCGGGGTTTCGCGGTTGTGAGCCATGGCTCCGAAGCCGGCCGAGCTGCCGTCGGGGTGTCCAACGGTATGCGAAACTTGGAGAAGGGGCTAGGTCTTCAGTTCGTGTCTCCGCAGTGTGATGTAGTGTGCCAAATTTCAGGCTGCGGAGTTCCGCTGTCTGCTTCCGAGGGCATTGGGATGTGTGAACGCCTGGGTTGCGCGACAGTCAGGCCTGTTGGCGGTAGCCGCGCAGTGCCGGTTCGTTGCTTGATCTGCCCCCCGATGTCGAGCTTGGTGACGGGGCTGAGCGGGACCTACATGAGGTCCTCGCGGACACTGGATACCGGAGGATATCCTCGCCCTCCGGGTAGGTGTCGCGGCGCCTAAGCCTGGCAGCAGCCTCAAAAGAATGGCCCGGTTGCACACCAACCCGTGGCTGGGCCTCGCCCCGACGCATAATTGGCGAGACGATGGGGGCTTCGAGCGCGAGCTGGGTGCCATGCCACAAAGGGAGGCCGTTGGCGACGACCTCGACCGCTCGTCACCAACGGGCGTGTCGAAGTTCACAACCACGGCCTGTTGCAGAACATAGGCGGTTCAATATACGTGCGTGCACAATTCTGCAATGGACATCAATGGACCAAAGATGGAGAATGACTCGTTGGGCGAACTCCTGGTGGCGCCGCCGTAGTGCGATAGTCTCAGCTCCGCAAATTGAAACAACATAGCCCATCGCTTCCGCCAGCGCGAGCAATGCAATCCAAGTACGTATCAAAAAATCCCAAACTGTTGTTTGCGTGCAGAAAAATCTGGCCCACAATCATGAATTTCCACAGCAAAAGCCACAGTCGGAGCGCGGCACCGTCGTGCTTTGCACGCCTGTTGACGAGCGGGTGCAACAGGAGCAGCGCGTGTTGCAAGAGCTGCCCCAATTGCCTGGTACAGTGAGCGTGGCTGCTGGCCCTGAGTGCGGCTTTGTGGGCTAACCACACCGTCGGCGCGAGATTAAATTATGCCAATTTTCTGCTCCACCGACTTTACAGGCCGATCCACGCGCGGACCCAATGCACATGCGCATTACGGTGCTGCAGTCCGCTGCAGCGGCTCAGTAAAGGAGACGGGCGAATTGGATGGCCTCTGCATTCCTCTGCGCTCCAGCGTCCTGCGCCTTCGCTGGCAAGCACGACGACGCATCATCGCGTAAACTCGGCGGCGACGGCTTGTAATCCGGCAAAAGTATAGATACAGTCGCAGGATGCCACCCGCCGTGTCAATTTGGGGTTGTCGGACATTCTCAGCGTGAGCCTGTCTTGTGATCTTTTCCACCCTGACCCTTGCTGCGACTGAAGATCCGCGGTCCCGGCGCAGGAAAGTTGCACTGCCGCTACGCGCTGCTATGCTTTCTCGAGGTCAACGTACTCTACGCACACGCACAAGTCCAAGGCTGCAGCTCAAAGGCGGGGAGGAGACTGGCAAGTGGCGGGGCTTCGTCGAAGCGAGTCCCAACGAAAGGATGTCAAGCTGCTCGCCATCGAGGTTTACGACTGTGGTGCCGGGGAGAAGATGTCCACGGACGCTCGCGCCGAAGGCCCTGGCGGCAAAAAAGGCGAGCAAAGCCGACCATCGGGTCGTGAAGGCCGCGATGGTTACTTGATGCTGCTGGTCGCGAGTCACCGAGCAGGCAGACGAACCGGGCAGCCTCGGGCTCCAGCATGTTGCCTCGACAGGGGACATTAGGGTGGTGTCGAACAAAGGAGTCCGTAGGCGATGACTTCGATTCGGACGTCATCGATTCGCTCGGGTCCAAGTAATGCGACTTTGCCAGCAGCGGCGACTCGAGAACAAACGATGACTGAGGGCATGCGAGATAGCATAAAATCTAAAAACCGGGTGCTGTTTCTTGGGCCGGCTCTGCCAGCCAGCCTGCTGCCGCTGCCGGCAATTACACGGTGCCCGCGCCCTGCGCGGCCACCGGGCGGGCAGCCCAGGAGGAGTTGATAATGCTGCTTTTGCGTTGTAATTTACAGTACACACGTGCTTGAGGGAAGAAATGGTTCTTAAGGGTGTGGATTTCCAAAACTACTTGGGGACTATTTTGTGGTGTCGGAACAGCAAAGAAGCGGAATGTCAATGATGCAAGCAGCTCTGAGAATGTTTTGGCACTGAAGCTCCCCTTGCTTCTCTATGCCTCCTTGCCACAAAGCTCAAACAGCGTGCTGAGGAATGCGGAGGGCGAACCAGCATCAGACAAGTGCTGGCGAAAAACAAACTGCTGAACCAGAAGCACAAGGTCAGAGTTTTCTCTTAGTCAGGAGGCTGAAAGAGTGTATAAGGGGCATGCGGCAGCAGCAGTACGTAGCAGGAGGATGAAACATCTGTAACAGCAAAGAGCAACCAGACGTCACCAAGCCCCCCTCCCCTCCTCTCCCCAAGCCCGAAATCTGAAAACCTGCAAAAACCAAGCCCGAAAGCTCGGGGGTCAGGAGTGACGCCGCTAGCTCAAACGTAGAGGTCCAAGGTGCCAACAAGACAGGAAGCTACACACAAAACGAATATAGTCTGGATAGTATTTTTATGTATTCGTATAGTCGTGCAGGCCCTGTCTTTTGCATTCGTCTAATGAGTATAGATATGTCAACATGGACGTTATTACCCCCTCCCCTCCCCCCCCTTTCCATTTGCATGCATCTATGACCACGATTGTCATCATTCCCTCCTACCTAAACACAGGGGAAAAGCCATGGTTTGAGCACAAAACCCTTAGAAACCCGGTGGCCGCGCAGGGCGCGGGCTCCAACTACACGACCCTCTCGGGGACCACCTTGCAACGTGTCCTCGGTCGCGCCTCCATCAGACGTCCTTCGTGCCAGGAGCGGTGGGCCGCAATGGTCTGGCAACTGTCTGGCAAACGGGAGCTGCGCCCGTTGAGCGAAACCAGGACCCTCATGGTCTCGTCGCCTGATCAAAAACCGTCGCCAAGCTGTTGACAAGGGCTTGCGAAACGAGGCGGTGGAACGCGTCGCCCGTCGCGATGCCGCACAAGCGAGGAGCTCCATAGCGGACACGTCTGAAAAACTCAGCTCTCATGCCTTATTTCTTCATCTGCCACACGCTGCCTCAACATGCCCCAACCCGCTGCGGAATTTCTAACGACCCTAAACTTGTGAAAATGTGTGAGGAGCAGCCGGTTCGCGATCGAGCCAAACCGTCGAGAGCGTTCTGCCGCATGTCTTGCGCGGGACCATACTGGCAGTATAGAGAGATGTGTAGTGATACACGTGGTCCCCCTGTCGGTTGCAACTCGTGGGTTTTCGTTGCACGCGTCTGCAACTGTCTGACACAATCCCCGGGGCATAGCTCCATTATCCTGCCTGATGAGGTCGTGACGGGCCGCGCTTGCGACAGCAACGCTCGAGACACCGGGGGTGTCCAGGATGTGTCTCGCACGCTCGTCACAGCTTGGGGCAGCAAGTCGCCAGGCCAAGGGCAGAGACGCCCAGGGCAGCTGAGGCTGGGGCCGATGGAGTCATCGCAGCCGGCTGCGAAAAAAATCAATCGTTTGCACGTGCGCGACAAGACACAGGAGGAGCCGTGTCGAACCTCGAGGCCCGGCACGCGGCCAGGCAGATCGGAAGCCGAATCAAAACAAGGGGTAACCGAGCCGCGTGGAAATTGGAAGGGGGAAGCTTCGCTGGAGCATCGGACAACTGATATGGCTCCAGCGTACTTAGCCTTCTGGCCTGAAGCACGATTCGCAGCGTTGCCGCGTGTGGCATCGTGTGGCCAGGAGGGACAGGAGCGGCCTGGAAATGATGCTCAACTTGGGGATGCGCTCCGCTTCACAAAGCCAGAGTCGGCAACGACGGCGACGGCGGACGTGCCCATCGAACAGAAACTAAGGACGTCTTCTCCTCTCTATGCCCCCAGCTTGCGACCCGAAGACCTTCGAGTACAGCGGAGTGGATGCCGGACGGCTGCACCGTACAAGAAGTGCACATTCGTCATCATAAAGCAAAGCGCAAATTTGCTCACTGTAAACCACCCAGAGGCCCCCAAGCCGCGGGCGCTCCTGTCATTTAGAGCTTCCGGGTCTTCATGCACGGGCAGGCAATGCCCTTAGTTGCAGCATGTCGTGAGCGAGTGCCGAAGCATAGAGTTGAGGATTAACTGGCGCGGAAGCTGCCAGGAGCTGCTGAGTCTGCTTTCACCATTCGTCGGTTGCGCACGCAGTCAGCCCTGTTTCGGCGGATCCCACATTGCTTTTTGATCAACATAGGCACAGTGGACGGCGTACGGAGTTTCCCACGGAACATCTTTCAACGCAGCTCGTTCCAGCGCGCGCCTGTCCTGCGTGGCGAACACTTGCTTACATCCGCTATATGCCCGAACTGCGCAACAGTGCAACCGCGATGTGACGGTCGTGCGGGTCACGGAATTGAGCACTGCATTGCCCACTGACATGTCTTATAATCCTGACACAGACACAGGACTGAAGCGACATTTCCGTCATTTGGAGAGCCACGGATTCGATCTCGGATCAGATTCGCGATGCTGGACAAACAAAGCTCCTGTGGCGATACGAGTTCAACATGACACATCATTGTCACCCTGGAAGCAGCCATGCCAGGGGATGCTTCCGAGATTTTTGCAACAAGGACGTCCGGTGGTTCCAGCAGCCCTACTCAACACAACTCCTAATTACCGAGCACTGTCTCTTGTGCCTTGCAGTCATTGCGTCGATCTTGCATTTTGTACACGGTTCTCCAACGAATTCTCTTAACTCAGTTGGAGCATCTCAAAGCGCGGAATCTGCCACATTGCCAAGCGTTTTCATATTGCATTGAACTAGTTTTCGCTAGCTTGTTTAAAGTTCCGTCCTCTGCAAGGGTTCACAAATCACAAGACACTATGTACAAGCAGCATTCACTGTCAGTGCCTCGGCCAAGTGCATCCGATTGATCGAAAGCGCCGGGCAGCAGCAGCAAATGACAAAGGAAACAGGGTTCTACATCCTTGAACTCATAAGTCCCGCTTCGCGGAAGACGTCTCTGCACGATTGAAGTTTAGGGCGTTTAGGGCATGACCTCCGGGGGCACCGCGACCTCCGCAGCGGATGCTTCATGCGAACCTGCGAGAAGTTTGTGATACAGTACTTCTGAAACTTGAAACCGAGGGTTGAAAGCACTCCGACTACGGTTTCACTCAAGACATACGAGTTCAACCACATTGGTCACGGTCTCGATTTCCGGATGGTTCCATGGGGCATGGTGCTCGATCCAATTGCCTCAATAAGTATACGAACATCGGGAATAGGACTAGGCCCTCGTCAAGCGCCCCCTTCTCAGACTCCGAAGTTCGGCCGCCTTGTGTCTGTAGCTCGGCTGCAGCACTTTCATCTCCGAACCTTACGGCACGTCGTCCCAAAGGGCTCTCAGCGACAAATCGAGAAGCGAGCCGGAAATACCTTCTTTTCTCCGCAGATTCCCGTGCATAGGCCTGGCGGTGGCCCTAAACTTCCCTTCGCCAGATCAGACCCCACGGCGACTCACAACTTATAGCCTTATGGCACAAGCATCGCCACTGTGCTTGCAGAATCTTGCAGAACACATGGAGCTTGCAATTTCGCAAAGTCGGTCTGAGTCTGTCGGTCAGAGCTGCGACGACACCGTTCTGGCTGAGAAGTCAGCGTTATGGCGTGGATTACTGAAATCGCAAACACTGCGGGCAGCCAGCTGTATCTTGATGAGGACTTTACGTCCAGAAGCTGTAAACCAAGTTGGTCTTATGAATGCACAAAATCAGAGTCGGCAAGCCCTGCTTACCCGAAAGTCCTCAAACCCACAGAAGCAATCTAAATCCAAGCCTCACCGACATCCTATCAGTAGAGTCCTAAAATCAATCCGATCTCTGCCGTTGGGCTCCTCGGCAGCTTCTTGTCGCAGCCGCGCCTCTTCGCAGGCGAGGCGCATGGCCTGCACGGAAGCTCGCAGAGTCGGTTCCGATCCGTTTGGGCCCATTTCGAGGAGTTTCCCTACATGCCCATGTCGAGTTGTGGAAGGGCTTATGGTTGTCGTTGTGAAGGGAGCAAGCACACTGCAGCCTTCTTGGAGATTCCCTTGGTTTTCCAGGTTTCGCATAGCTGCAGCGAGCCTGAAGGGCTGATGCAGCGCCTGTCTGTGCAGTCATAAGAGCATCCGACTTGATTTGCCAGCTTAGCTGCGCTTCCGAAGCATCTGCAGAGTCAACTGTTGTCAGTCGCTCCGTGAAAAAACCCAGACATGTTCGCATCCAGCAGCAGAAACCAGACTTGGATTATGTGGTCAGCTTCTTTGTCGTCGAACCGGTTTGAACATGCACGGAATTGCTGAGGCCAATCCTCAGCACGCAATGAGGCATCGCGCGCTGCAGAAAGGAATTCCAAGTGGCACATTGGCAAACAAGGCTTCCCGGGCGAGGAAGCCCTTGTTCAGCAATATAAAAAATGCTTGGCTTCGTTGTGCTAGTACCATCTAGTACCCGCAATCTGAAAGCATTATGCATGCATTCGTGGACAGCTGGACAGATGGGTGTATACGTTTGCTAAAGATCTACCAGTAGCTGAAACTGGGTCTCGACACTCCAAGCAACTGCAAGAGATGGTTTTCGAGATGCTTTTTAAAGAGTCCGCGTCACTGCTGCGCGCGGATCTCCGCGATCTCAGCGTGATCCCAGCCTGCTCCTTAGATTGACATGTCTTCTCTTGCCGGGATAGCAAAGCCTGGCAGGACCAACAGTCAGCAAACAGAATCGCGAATAGGTTGTCTCAACTGCATGAAACCGCACAATTCTGAAGCACTCACCGGTCGGTAACGTGTCAGTAGTACAAACAGAACACCGTACAGTAGAAGCATCAGGCGCAACTGCTGGCACGTGTAGCAAGAGCAGCTCCCAGTGCACTTGCCAAGGATGCACGGGCAGGAATGGTGCGAACACTACAGCCAAAGAGCTCCCGAGGCGGAAAGGGCAGCACGACGTTCAGCCGCACGTCTATGGTGTTCATCAGCGATGCATTCTGGACGGTGCTAGACAGCCTCAGTCTTGAGCTGCGAACGGCAGCTTGTCTCTGAGTGTGCGACGGCGACCTGTTTATAAAATACTAGTAGAAGTATGTTCGGACGAGAACAAACACGGATTAGCAGCGCTCGAGAGGCACATCGATTTGATATTATCCCAAGGCGGCTCAGGATATACTGTAGCTATAGCAGAGAACATCGGTCCGAGTGCAAAGCCAGTGAGGGTCATCGGCATATCGCAGAAGCTTCCTCCGATACCGGCTGCAGCGCCCGAGTTTGCGGTCTAAGCGTTCAGCGGCCAAATATCGAAAACACGGAGCGGCCTGAGCTCCTCCAACAGCGTGCCGCTAGCTGATAGCACTGAGCATGCCAGACCTGCAGTATTCATTGCAGAGGAATTCAATCTCCGGTATATGGCACAACACTACCCACATCAGTCCCGGCGCGGCCGTGACACTTCGTCATCCGTAGATGCTACTGAAATGTCGTGTCGGACCAGCCGCTGCCCTGCCCCTGAGATCAGGGCTGTAAGCTGCATCGGCAAGTTGCTCAATCGGGTCCTGGAGTCATCCAAGGGGATAGCAACGCGCGAAGTGAAGCCAAGTGGAGCTCTGTGCGTCGTGACTTGAGATGCATCAGTGCTGGAGGATTGGAGGTCTGCTCAGCGGAGGTGCAGGTGTACAGGAACAGGACAGATTTCGTGTGACAAATCATGCACAACCTGTTGACACTTGAGCACCACCTCGCAAACTCAGATCGAACTGAGCCCTGATGTAGTACTTCAGGGTACAGTTGATGAGATCTTCAATCAATCAGGTTTGAGGGTGGGAACAGCATGTGTCAGACATGTCAGGGATTCTGCCTTTTCGCCCTGCGGCAAAACTTCATTGTATACAAGGGACAGTCTACAGTATTCTTGCGCGGTCAGCAAGCCTCCGGTGCTGCTGGCGTGCTTGACATCTCCGGAAGGTGGCCCTTCCTGACTGTCCTTAGCAGCAAAGCGCAAAGTTTGGAAGCACTTGAAGCTTGGGGGGAGCAGCCCGGCTAAGGAGTGGCATGAGATGGTGCTTGGATACCAGTAGCAGCTGGACCTGCCGGTCAATGACCTCGCCCTTCGTCCCTCAGCATCCCTCAGCCAACTACCTTCAGATTTTTTTCGTGTCGAAAGATAAGAGATGCCAGAGCTGCCTCTACCAATCGAGTCAAGCCATGTGGGTTCATCAAGATTAAGATGCAGTGTTGATTTCTGATTCGGATTCCTCGGCCCACCGCAGATCCACGTACTGCAGTTTACATCCGAAGACCCAACCCTCATACCCACACGTCATGCGGTCGGCGGCTGCCTCCGGTGCATATGTACAGCCAAAGCAACTGCATCAATGTCAGATGCAGCAGCTCTGAGAATCATAATTGTACGGTTGGAGAGGTACACGTCTTCAAATGCTGGATTGAAAAGATGACTGGATGTCACCGGGCCTGCGGCGAAGTCCGCAAGGGTATTCAGGGCCCTGATTCTCCAGCCATGCTGCGGTCCGATCACAGATGCCCTATAACGTTTTGCAACCGATTCGGAGGATTCCTATCTTCGGAGAGGTGTGGGGTTGGCATTTCACGCTTGGCGGCTTCAGAGCGAAGATAGTATCCGATAGCCAAGAAACCGTGTACGGCGGATTCTCACCACGATTGAGATGTTCTCTCACTTCCTGCCTGTTTCTGAACAAGAGTGCCTCTGGGATCTTCCGGGCTGACACTGGTTACCCTGCTACACGATAGTAGGATCCTTGGAAATTCAGGATCACGGATGTGCAGGGTTGAAGTACGAGGCTTTGGGTTCTACAACTTGGGCTGGCAAGTCTTGCTTTTGCTCCTTCGTTCGGATGACTGGCCGTAGTCTTCGATCTACGCATCGGACGCAGTGTGCCGGAATGCTTGAAGCTTTGATGCCGAAGTTTCCGCAAAGTGGGAGGCCAGAGGGAATCGCGGGTAATCCTTGCAGAAACTCAGCGTTAGTAGGAGGAGGACACCAACGAATGGCTGCTCCCCACGCAAGCCGGAAACGTGCATGGCATACATATTCTGACTTGAGCAGGAGTGGTGAGGATTTATTTGTGGCAAGGCACGAAGGTGCCCCGCTCCCCTCCATCGCTACCATGCCAGCTTCTGCACATTCTCAGGTCTGTTGGACTGGTGAGGAGCACGGTTCTGGGAATTGTGGGCTAGCAGGATGAGCGGCTAAGACTGCAGAACGGCAAGACTTCATGAGTCGATGTTTGAACCAGAGATATCTCTCTGCATATCTTTGCCCAATCCTCGGGTACGCCGAACCCTGTGAAGCTTCCGCTAAGAGTCTCCACACCCTGAATCCCGCACTTGGGGCACAGCGTTCACATAGACACTGTCAAACCTTTTCAGTCCTTCTGATACAAATTTTGGGAAGACCTTCTTTGCATCAGCTGACCAGAAACGACGGGGCCTTGGGTCGTCTGCCATTGTGGGAAGATGCAAACGACTGCACGCCAGTTGGATCGACTTCAAAAGTACATAGCTGCCGTCTATCTGCATTTGAAGTGGCGTCCGGTCTGTGCTCTGCCAAAAGGGTCACGCACAATCGCTCTCAATCCTCAGCCTCCTCCTTGCAGGAAAAGTAGTTGCAGGACCCTTTTGGTGAAGATGTGCAAGGCCTTCTTGAGCCTGCTTGGCTGCTGCTGTATAGTCTAAGATCGCCACAGGTGGGGATCTTCTGTGAAGCATCCCCTGATACTCGCTGCCGCTTTGTTCTACACTCATGCAGGGGGCTGCTTGATGGCTCGGCAACAACATTGGGCGACACAGAGTTAGGGAGCTTCCTTTCCTGATGCTCCGCCCATGCGAGCTTTCTTCCGGAGTCGGGTCTGCCGAGGAACGGCGAAGCCGATCGCTTGGAGCACCTCCAGAATGTGATGAATTCTATATTGACAGAGTCAGCACGTAGAATCTCACTGGACCAAATCCTCGGATCCGCTAAATCCGAAGCCCATTTCCCCAACCTTGATGGTCTAAATCATCAAACTATGGCCGCCCCAGATTCATTCCCGTGTAGGGTGTAGAGTCGTCTCTGGACAAGAACAGAGAACAACTTGCGCTGGCCTCAATCAAGTCATCTGTGATGGGCCGAGTGCTGTGGATGGTGAGCTGGGACTGGTGCAATGTCAAGACCAACAGGGAGTGCCTCCGCAGAGCGGCTGTACGCAGCAAGTACTTGAGATCGTGACACGGCAGAACTGTGTAGAAGGAAAAATACAGTTAACAGATGGGAAATAAGCAATATAGTGCTCGCAGTCGTCATCAGTGCGCCGACCAGGCAAAGCCATAATTGGGATTTGGCGGCTGCACGTCTTCAAGGCCTTGGGTCTGGGTGGATCGGCGGGCATCGGTTTGTCCCTGGCCACTGGTGGACTCTTGTATGAGTTTCAGCCGCACGTAAGAAAGCAATTCGTTGGGCTTTCTAGCTTCCGGTGTCGAAGAAAGTCTCAACAGCCGCCCAGGGCCTCAGATCAACTGAGTTGATTACCCTGCGCCGACCAAAGTGGCGAGAATAGCCATAATCCTTTGCCTGCGCTGCATGCGTTGTGCTGAACAGCTTCCTTGCAACAGGAAATGGCTCCGAAACAGCTTGTACACCGTCTCCGAGGAGTGGCCGCATGCGGGGGTCACCATAAAGGAAGATACGATGCGAACAGGTGGGTTGAAGCAAGCCGAAGCCGCGACTGGTCCGTGCTTGCTTGCAATTCGTCAAGTAGTAGTAGTAGTAGTGGTGTAGTAGTAGTGGTGTAGTAGTAGTAGTAGTAGTAGTAGTCGTCGTCGTCGTCGTCGCAGTAGTAGTCGTCGTCGTCGCAGTAGTAGTAGTAGTAGTCGTCGTCGTCGTTGTCGTAGTAGTAGTA